TTTTTCCAGATACACTTGTCTTCGTTCCTGACCACTTGAAAATTAACCATGTTACACAATCGGCAATTTCGAAACTAACACAGTACGTTTACACTAAACGTGTAACAACGATGCTTCACTCACACTCTCTGCCACATTCTGTGTAACTAAATTATATTATAACACCATAGCTAGCAAGTCATTCTATCATACTCAGTGTAGGTAAGCGTGCATCATGCATTGATGTACGCTAATAGCGTGAGCAAAGTACGCTTCTTTTTGTTTGTTTGTTTGTTTGTTTTGTTTTGTTTTTTTGTTTTTGTTTTTTGTGCCTCCCTTGTGCTCTCTAATCCTGCCGCGTACTTCGTAACCCGATTATGCAAGCTGAATCATGAGCCATGTCGTTATTCTGTTGCTGAAGGGAGGTTAGATATATTAGGAATCGGTTGTTTCTTTCGATAAAACATTTGGTTTGTTCTCATTAAGGGAGACACAAACCTTTTGAATGAAGACCAATTCAGCGTCACTAAATCAGCAGTCCCCACGTCGGTTAGAGGCAAACGCCGTCATGAATCCAGTTGTGCGTCAGAGAGTTACTGGGTGGGACACTGCATCATCAAGTACGCTAAAGAGGTGCCAGACAAAGATACTTTGAAGGTCACGGTGGATCTTCATCAGTCAGCATCAGATTTTCCCAAGGAGCTGCTGAGTGGAGGTGTCCACCTGAGTACTTTGACTGTTCTTCACCGTTTAATTCCCCACAGGTAAACAATTTAATTAATTTCTGACAGGCAGCTGTTTATTTTCAGTTCTTCTTGTTGCGTGTATTGAACATTTGTGTCAATTTTTTAGAGTTATTTACCTTCAATATGACTGTTACAGTGCATTTGACTGAACCTGCACATAGGAAAAACTGTGAAAATGTTGCATGTACTGCTACTATCATATTTCTTTCTATTTTGTCCCGAAAACCACGTCCAGGTTTGCAACGGTACTCTTCACTTAACGCTGATAAAAGCCAATTACCCTTTTCTATAGGCGGATGTTTGCTGCTTTGTGCTCTCTGCCAAGTGCATCACAACTAGCACATTCCATTTGCATGGGAAATGAGCCAAGCCAAGGTCAGCTTACATAAGTTTCCACTTCTTAGTACCTTTATTGTTGTAGTCATGTTAGCTGTTATCATATGTTTACCTTTAAGCTATGAATTCCTTGCTCTTATTGAACTGCATCTCTTTCCTGGGGAATCAGAAATGGTATATCAAATCATCTGCCAAGATTAAATTAGAAAGTAAAACACTTGTTTGCCATTGTCGTTTAATTCAACTGCAAAAATCTGTAACCGACCTAAATTTATTTTGTGAATTTGTCGGACGTTTTGAATCAGAGTTTCTAAGTTTTGCATTGAGACACCCTTCCTTGGCTCAAATTTTAAATTG